CTAGACAGGGAAAAAGAATAACAAACAGCAGCCAAAGAACAAAATTGGAGGAGAGGAACAAAGCAGGACTTCGAGTCGAACCCAGAAAGCATAGTCTAGAGCAGAGAATAAGGGAATCGCGTGGAGGAAAGCCCATAAATCACAGAGAGAAAGAGTCAGAGACAAAGGTGAACATCGTAGAAGATGAACGATGGTTTTGTACGTTTTCTTTCAACCATTTTGAGTATTTAAGGCTTGAAAGACGTGGGGTGAGGCGTGCGCGGGAACCAAGGGAGCCATGATTGCTTATACCGTCAAAAAGCCCCTCCCATGTGCATCTCACATGCAGGCTAAGGTCAACTAAGCGCAGGTCTGGTCTAAGGTAAAAGCAGCTCAGGCCATGCCCAAGCTCACTTAGGCCAAGGGCTGGAAGGCAACTGATGATACCTCAAAATAAATCCCAAACGCCAGCTCAGAAGGTCAGCTCAGCCCAGGAGGTTAGACTAGACGAACAGAACTTGAAAGAGTAGAGCTGGAGGTCCCTTCGAGATAAGCAAGGGCAATAACAACTAAGGCAACAACTAAAAGATCACGAGAGGTTCCTAAAAGCGTTAGGAAGCAATAATCGAGGCACCTAATCACAACCAACCAAAATCTTCTCCTATAATCAATGAGAACCCCACGAAATAAGGGCAAGAACCTCGGCTAAGATCCCACTAGAGCAGCCCTATAAATACTATGTAACGCCCCCAAGGAACGAGAGGAACCCTAGAGGCAAAAACTAGCCATTGTACTCTTGCAATCATTATTATTGAAAGACAAGGGGCAAGAGTCTCTATTAAAAAGTGGATTAACCGAGCTCCCGAGCTGATGAACCACTATATTCCTACTGTGTTAATTCCCCAATTCCCCGACAATTCTCAGTATCATTCACTCGAGTCTAATAGCTCAGATCCCAACAATTCCAATACTGTTTTCTTTCATTTACTCGTCATCACAAATTCTCATCACGCTGAAATACACCATCATATATAAAATAAAGTATAATATAATTTAAATCTCAAAATATAAACAAAATAACTTTTGTTTTTTACAGTTGAGATCTATTTAAATTTTACTTTAAAATTAATCTAACGACTAATATTAACATCCCAAAATTAATTGAGAAAATAAGCCTCTAAGAATGTGTTTGGGGTAATTTTTTAAAAGTGTTTCTAGAACTTATAATTTTTCATAAGTACTTTTAAAAAAAAAAAGTAGTGTTTAGAACTACCCCATCATCACCACCACCCTACCATCATCATTACTACCACCACTACCGTCACCCCACCACCACAACTATCCCTACCACCACTACCACCACCACTACCGCTACCACTATCACTACCATCACTACTACCGCCACCGCCACTACCACTGCCACCTCTGCCACAACAGCTACCACCACCACCATCACTGTGGCCACCCCCACCACCATTATTACCACTACCACCACCCTCATTGCCCCACCACCACCAAAACTACCGCCGTCACCACCACATCTATCACAACAACCACCACTACCACTGTCGCCACTCCCCACAACCACCGCACCCATCTGCCCTACAACCCCCATCATTACCACTACCACCACCCCACCAGTGCCCCAAAACAACTATCCCCACTACCACCATTGTTGCCGCCACCTTATCACCATCGTCACTGTCCCATCATCACCCTCACCCCTAATATCCCACCACTACCATTACTGTCCCACCATCACCACCCCCACCCATGACTGTCACCATCACAACTATCAACGTCTCTCACTACCTCCACAACCACCGCTCGCCCCCCCTATTACAATCGGTGTTTAAATTTCTTTCTATCTCATTTATCTTTGTAATTTGATATTGGCTGTGAGTACAAATATATTTATTTTTAACTTTTTTTATTACTCCATGTCTTTAAGCACGAGAAATGACTAGTACTTCTAAATATTATACCACAGTTCCAAATCTTCACACTTCTAAATATCCTATCACACATATTTTTCATATTTATGTTTTTTGGCTATTACCTTTTGTATGCATATTATTGATTTATTTATTTAATTTGATAACTAATTAAAGCAACATTGAACATTTTTAAAGTTTGAAAATTTTATTTATAATAAAAAAAAATCATTTGTGTATGTAAAGGTATAATGGTAAATTAGGTATATTTATCTTTTATTTTTCTTCCAACGCCAAATAATAGAAAATTAATTCCTCCAATTTTTCATCCATTGTACTAAACAAAAAAAAAGTTTTTTTCCTCCAAAAATAAAAATTCTATTTGCCATATATTTTCATCCCTTCTATTAAATCAGTGTTATCAGAATCGGACCAGTTCAACCGTGAACCGGGACCTTAAGCGGTCTGGTTCCCTAGTTGGACCTTATAAGGAAGAAAATCGACTAAAAATCGAAAAATTGGCCGATTTTGGCCAAAACCGTGAATCGGTTAATTTTTTAAAACCGGCGGTTCGAATTCCACTTCTTATATATATATAAAAAAAAATTCTCTTTGTTTTGGGGCCATTTTGCCCTAAATCGTAGAATTGAGGGCCCGAGGCTGGGAAGGAGACCTCTTTGCTTCACAGTCAATTTTCCACTTCTGTTTTCAATGGCCATTCCGACGATGAACAACAACTAAGGGAGGCAACCAATCAGTGACTACTCCTCTTCCTCTGCTCGAAGCTCTATCTCTCTCACTTAGTCAGTCTGTCTGACTCAGGCAACGACGATTATGTTTTAATTTGTTGGTTTTCTTTTAGCTGCTGCAAGTATATCAATATGATTTTAACCAAAATTTACTTGGTTGTGGAACTTTGTGAATTTGGATTTTACTTTGCATATGCACTTGCCCTTGAATTGGAATTATGAGGTAAACCCAGAAACTTTCTTTTTAATTTGGAATGGTATTGCTCTCTTTTGAGGATTAGGAGTTTTGAAGAAAAAAAAAGGCGACGACCAATGGAACCTCTCTTTCTCACACACGCACACACAGTAGCTCTCTACTCTCTGAGTCCTCTAAAACTTTTGAATAGAATTTGGATCCCATTTCATTGTTATGTTTCTTAATTCGTTAGTAATTTCATGGGATATATTCAAGCCAATTTCACTGATTGAATGTAATTTCTTTCATGTTAGGTTGTTTACTGTACAATCTAAATTCTTTGAATTCGATGCATGTTTCCAGAAAGTGGGAGGGGGGTCTATGTTCCATGTTTGGTTATGTAGTATATAATATTGAAATTTGGTAAATGTGTGTAAATGGTGTTTAGGGGTTTTGGACATGTTTCATATTTTGTAGTTAAATTATTATTTTTTATAATATTTATATATTTTTTATAATATTTATATATTTTTTATAATTTTTAATTATATGACTGGTCTGACCAGTTGATCCAACGATTGAACCAGTGAATTATTGACCTGGTGCTCTTGCCAATTCGATAACTGATCCGGTTCTGATAACATTGTATTAAATTTAACATTAAGGAAAAATATGCTCCAGATACATTTAAAGTCAAAGTAGCGGGCACATGAGCAATTTAAGCAATCTCATTTTGTCGTTTTGTGGGAACAGAGTTAATTAATGATCTCACATTAAAAAACCGTTACATCTCGTACCCAGCTCCACTTTATACGGCGATATATTGACGAAACGCACACTAAGACACATTTAAAGACCCACGACAAAATAAACTAGCCGTTGGGACTCAAAATTCAAGACCCATCCAACGTCAGCGACACAACCATATAGCTTTCCTCTTTTCTTTTCGTCCTCTTTTTGTCTGTCACAACCTCACAAATCACAGCATTTCTCTCAAAACGCTCCTCTCTCTCTCGCTACAAGTCTCTGCTCTTTCTGTGGGTTTGTTAGATTTGATCTGAGAGCAAATTGGTCGGCTATGCTTTGAGGTTTCTGTAAGAGTTTCCTTTCCTTTTATGTACCATCTAAAGTTGTTTTGGTAAGTTTTCTTTGATTTCAAGTAGAATTTGGTGGTAATCCTGACCTGATTTTGTTCCACATGCATTTTATGGAAACTTCTAGTTGTACTAAATTTAATCTATTAACACGCACACACATACGGATGCAGATTTGTCTTTGATAAATCAAAAACCATTTTGAGGTGGTGTTCTGCGGTAATTGCTCATTTCAGATTTTCCAAATACTGTGCAAGTGTTTTAGGGTTTCACATTTTGGGTTACACGCATGGGGGATGTAGTAATTGAAGTAAATTTGGTAAATCATATGGACTTTTCCCCGATTCGGAAATTTGAAACAGAACAGTAGAAGGGGATTTGTCAGTCGTACTTGGGGAAGAGTGAATAATCAAGCCATAGTTTTGGGTCAATTTTTAATTGTGTTGATCTTCCAAAAAGTGGGTCATTGCTTGGTCCAATAAAATGCTCGGGCATCAGGAGCGATGAAGTAGTGCAAATATGCACCAGGTTAAGTCTTAGTCCAGCTTATATCTCCTAGCTGCCTGCATAAGATGGGCTGCACTGGATAATAGCCTTTTCGGATGTGGTGATCTTCTTAAGTCCTCTGTGTGGATTTGCATAGAAGTCTGAAACAATAAATAGCAAACTTAGAAACCAAAATCGAATAATATGTTTTGGTCCAAAGGCGGAAGACCTCCTTTTGGTTCCTGAGAAAGCTGCTGTAGAGAATAAGAAAATTAAGGACTATTTTTTTTTTTTTTCTGTTCTGCAAAAATGAAAGAAGTGATTTTCTCATTTTCATGCATTTCATTGTTGAAAGTTTGTGTGAATTTCAAATTTTCAGGTGGTCCATTTTAGTCACACATTAATTTATGGTTATGATTTATTCGACAGATACATTACCAGATTGGGCAACTATATTATTTATTAATTTATCTTCTGAGAATTTTATTCATCTATCCTCTCCTGGGGAAGCTTGGACTGTACTCCACGGTGTTCCATCCAAGTCTAACTGCGAAGGAGACTTGTAGATCTATAATTTCTCAAAATGACGGTAAAAAATCCAAGTACACCAGCTTTAAAAATAGATAGGACTCCAGTATCCACCCCAGGTGGCCCCAGAGCTAAGGAAGAGAAGATTGTGGTAACAGTACGGTTAAGGCCTTTGAACAAAAGGGAGCAATCAGCCAAAGACCATGTTGCATGGGATTGCATTGATGATCACACAATTGTGTATAAACCACAGCCTCCCGAGCGTGCAGCTCAATCAGCTTCCTTCACCTTTGGTAACCAAATTACACCCATCTTTTTTTCTTGTTATCATTCAAATAATTTTGGGATTTATATTTTCTTAGATTATGTGAAAACTAACTGGCTATGTTTATTCTTCAGACAAAGTGTTTGGTCCAGCTAATTTAACTGAAACAGTATACGAGGAAGGAGTAAAGAATGTGGCGCTATCTGCTCTAATGGGCATAAATGGTACTCAATACACTAAATTTTATCTTCTGTGTTTGCTTGCCGATTGCATTTTTGAGGTCTATGGATTAGTATCCTCTCCAAGGCCTAGATTCCTTCAATTTTAAATGAACAACTGGGTGTTGGTGAGCAACCCGATACCAATAGAAATGTCTCCCTTAGATTCATCGTAGGTGATCTAAAATTGAAAATGGAATCTAGATTTCTGGAAAGGATCTAAACCATGCATATAATAACAATTTCATGTCATTTCCCTTCCAGCAACAATATTTGCATATGGCCAAACTAGCAGTGGAAAAACTTACACAATGAGAGGAATCACGGAGAAAGCTGTCAATGATATTTATAAGCATATCATGAATGTAAGTATTATCAAATTATCTCTCTGTCTTTATATCTATATCTATATCTATATATATATATATATATATATATATATATATATATATATATATATATATATATATATTTGTTGTGACAGTTTCTGAAAAATTCATGACAAGCCATGATCAAGAAATTCCACCCTTTTTATGCAAACTCGCAATTGACTAAGTTCATTAATCTGAGGTTAGATGTTTTTTTTCTCACTAGCATCTAAGGTTTTGCTCATATATAGAGGAGACAAGAAATTGAATGCTTAGAGGTGGAATGTGTATTCTTTCTGCACACAGTAATTATTATCTTGAATGAGTGTCATTTCTAGTGATTCGGTGTGACATACGACATCTTTAACCCAAAATGGGTGGTCCATTTTCTTCCTTGTTTACATTTCTATCCCTGTAGTCGGTAATACAAAGTTGATGGGAACAAAAACAAGTTCTTCTCTTGCCTTCTTTTGCCTTTGCTTCTCCTCTATAACTCTTCAATTTTTTAAATAAACAAAACACTATGCATTGAAGGCCAAAAACACAAACAATATGCATCAACCTGGACAAGTAACATGTCCCCAAACTAATCCTATGCTGTTTTGTCATTTCTGCAGACTCCAGAAAGGGATTTTAGAATAAGAATATCTGGACTGGAAATCTATAATGAGAATGTTCGAGACCTATTGAATTCAGAGTCTGGTCGCAATCTCAAACTTTTAGATGATCCTGAGGTAAAATCTGTCTATTTTTATTTGATTAAGTGATGTTGCTTTTCTCTGGGCGTTCAAGTAGATTTGTAACTATAATCTATTTTCAGAAAGGAACTGTAGTTGAGAAGTTGGCAGAGGAAACAGCAAATGACGATCAACATCTACGACATTTGATCAGTATTTGTGAGGGTAAACATTTGAAATTTTCAGCATGAATTGGTTTATCTTTCAGTTTTGTATTGGGGTAGAGTGAATGTCATATATCAGCTTAATAAAGTTTCAATATGTTGTGCAGCTCAAAGGCAAGTGGGTGAAACTGCTTTGAATGATACTAGTTCACGGTCTCACCAAATAATAAGGCTGGTCAGTTAAATAGGTTCATATGTATTATGATGCTTGTAGATAAAAATGTAGCTAGAGATAACCAGCTAACTAGAATATTTTGCTGGCAATGCAGACAGTAGAAAGCACTCTTCGTGAAAATTCAGATTGCGTGAGGTCTTTTGTTGCTAGCCTGGTAAAAGGCTTGCCTTTCTATACTTTCCCAAATGGTTTGAGGAGCTATAGATTTATGCCCATAACTGTTGATGTTAATAAACATCCTCTGCAGAACTTTGTAGATCTTGCTGGAAGTGAAAGAGCCTCACAGACAAATGCAGATGGTGCTAGGCTTAGGGAAGGGTGTCATATCAATCTTAGTTTGATGACTCTTACAACTGTTATCAGGAAACTCAGGTCAGCATGATAAAGCTATCCATTTCAACTTTAGACAGTCAAATCTAATATAGATCTTCAACTAAAGTCTGTGGAATGATGCAACAAACATTATTCTTAAATATATAGTAGATAGATAGTTATTTTAATATTTTCATTATTCAAATCTCTTTGAAAGATGTTGAATTAAATTTGAAAGCACTCCCATTGTCAAAACAGTTGCAAAGGCTAATTTGAGGTTTTATTGACTGGGACCTATTTGATATTGTTCACCAACTCTTTGTGATTTGATGGTAGGCTGTATTTACAACAGGCATGTGTCAATTGATGCATATTGATTTTTTGTATCATTTTATATATTACTGGTCCTTTGTTTATGCGGATCATTGAAACTAGAACAATTTTAAGGAAGGTTTGCTAAGTTATCCATGGATATTTGGAGATCATGTTATATTTTTACCACAGCTCATTGCACTTGCTAATCGATGCCTTTCTTTATGTCTGATTCAGTGTTGGAAAAAGAAGTGGTCATATACCCTACCGAGACTCAAAGCTCACACGCATATTGCAACACTCACTTGGTGGAAATGCACGTACTGCCATCATATGTACCTTGAGTCCAGCATCAGCCCATGTTGAACAATCCCGCAATACTCTGTTCTTTGCAACTCGAGCAAAGGAAGTGACAAATAATGCTCAAGTGAACATGGTACTGTCATAGTTGCTCATCTTTTTCAAATAGTCTTAAAAGAAATTGTTAATTTTGCTAATTTAAACATGTTGATCAGGTTGTTTCAGACAAGCAGTTGGTTAAGCATTTGCAGAAGGAAGTAGCCAGACTGGAAGCAGAGCTACGCACCCCAGATCCATCAAATGAAAAGGACTTCAAAATTCGGCAGGTAGTTTGTCAGTTAGGATTGACATGATTTCTTTAGCTGAAATAGGATTGACTAACTGACAAGTATTTCTCCCATGATAAATCTAGATGGAGAGGGAAATGGAGGAACTGAGACGTCAAAGAGATCTTGCGCAATCCCAGGTGGATGAGTTACGTCAAAAACTTCAGTATGAACAACAGGTTGCTCTATTATCTCTCTCTCACACACATATATGTGTGTGTATATGTATATATCTATATATATCCACATAAGTATATATATATATATATATATATATATATATATATATATATATATATATATATATATATATATATATGTCTATAAGCCAAGTTTTTCTAAGAATCCATTGATTTTATCTACATCAGGGCTTGAAGCCATTTGAGTCACCTAATCCAGTTGTGAAGAAATGTCTGTCTTTTTCTGGCACCTTATCACCAAAACGGGATGGCAAGGAATCAAACCGTGGTGATAGAACAAGAAATACGATGGGAAGGCAGACCATGAGACAATCGTCAACCGCTCCTTTCACACTCATGCATGAAATTAGGAAGCTTGAACACCTCCAGGAGCAGCTGGGAGAAGAAGCAAATCGAGCACTGGAAGTACTACAGAAAGAGGTCGCTTGTCATAGACAAGGTAACCAAGATGCTGCAGAGACTATTGCAAAGCTGCAAGCAGAAATAAGGGAAATGTGTGCAGTCCGAACAGCCACGAAAGAAGTTGAAGTTGACAGTGTTGTTGCTGTTAACAAGAGTGTTAGTGCTAACCTTAAGGATGAAATAACCAGACTTCACTCACAGGGAAGCAACATTGCAAATCTGGAAGAACAACTTGAAAACGTTCAGAAGTCCATAGACAAATTGGTGATGTCTCTTCCAAGCAATACTCAGCAATCTAATGGTGAAGCAGTTCTGATGGCCAATCAGTCAAAAAAGAAGAAGCTACTTCCATTAGCTTCAAGCAATGGTGCGAACCTGCAAAACTTCATAAAATCTCCTTGCTCACCTCTGTCATCTTCTCGGCAAGTATTGGAGTCCGAGACTGAAAACAGAGATCCAGAATATGATGATGCTGTATCAATAGAAAGTCTGCCAGTATCTGATAAAGAGACTCCTAAAAAAAGTGAAGAAGGGGGAGATGTCACATCAAAGGAAGGTACTCCTTATCGACGTTCAAGTTCTGTCAACATGAGGAAAATGCAGAAGATGTTTCAGAATGCAGCAGAAGAAAACGTAAGAAGCATACGAACGTATGTAACAGAGCTTAAAGAACGTGTCGCGAAGCTGCAATACCAGAAGCAGCTACTTGTTTGCCAGGTAAAATTGTTTTCTCGACACAAATACCGAGTTAATTTGTTCAGGAGATCAGATTTATGTCCACTTCAATGTTTTTGGGTTTTCTGTTTCAAATACATGTTTACATTCTCTTGGAATTTTTACTTCATTTTCATCTTGTATATTCTTTAGGTGCTTGAACTGGAAGCAAATGAAGCAGCTGGATACAATTTAGAAAATGATGACAACATTCCTGAGATACAAGAGGAGTCCCCCGTTTCATGGCATCTAATTTTTAGGGAGCAAAGGCAGCAGATCATTGAGTTGTGGGATGTATGCTTTGTCTCCATCATACATAGGACACAGTTCTATCTGTTATTTAAGGGAGATCCGGCTGACCAAATATATATGGAAGTGGAACTTAGGCGCTTGACTTGGCTGCAGCAGCACTTAGCAGAACTTGGCAATGCTAGCCCAGCTCATGTCGGAGATGAGCCTACTATCTCTTTGTCATCAAGGTTTCCTCTCTTTCTCTCTGGGCTTCCTTTTGAGATTTATCATATATCCAACTGTTATTTCAATCATATGCCTTTCTGTGTTATTCAGTATTAGAGCTTTGAAGCGCGAAAGGGAGTTCCTTGCAAAGAGGTTAACTTCTCGTTTGACTGTCGAGGAGAGGGATGCATTGTACATAAAATGGGATGTTCCGCTAGAGGGAAAGCAAAGGAAGATGCAGTTCATAAACAAGCTCTGGACGAATCCCCATTGTGCCAAGCATGTACAGGAGAGTGCTGAGATAGTGGCAAAGCTAGTAGGGTTCTGTGAAGGTGGAAATTTGTCAAAGGAGATGTTTGAGCTTAATTTTGTGCTTCCTTCTGACAAGAGGCCCTGGATTATGGGATGGAACCCAATTTCAAACCTACTTCATTTGTGAGCAACTACAATTCTTTTTGTAAGTAAATCCCAATATGATGTTATTTACATGTAAATTAAATTTCAAACGTTCTTTGACTGCCCCAATTTTGGAGTCTCCCTCCAACTTCTTTTGGTTATTTCATTGTGGTGCCGACTGGTTGAGCACACTTTCATTTTCTTAATAAAAGAAACTAATTTATATGGTTCGTCTGAACTATCAATTTGATGTTTGATGTGTGTGTTTACTTGAATCGGATATCTGTATATTCAACAGGAAGGAAATTATAATTACATAAAAGTAAGTGTGATTATGAAATGAATGTATGTTAAGTACATTTGTAGAAGCAAATATAAAAAGTGAATTATGCAGCTGCAAGTGCCAGAACTACGCCAAAGAACTTTATCATATTGCCTTGTGATTCTCGAAATAGCAGTTTTTTTTATCGGAATTGTTTGGGCTTCTTAAATCTCATTTTAAGAAATTTTATTTTGGGGCAGCTGTTGGATCTTAGAAGAATGTAAATGGTTGTTTCATTTGTTTTTGTTGGTTTTTTTTTTTTTTTTTCAAATTTATTTACTTTAAGGTATTTCTCTCAAGTTGATTTCAAATCTTCTGAATTTTACGAGGGACATCTGAAAAAATTCAAAAAATTCAAAAAAGATTAGCATGGCCCTTGCGAATGACATGCGTATAATTCATTAAACAAAAGAATTCTTATTCAACATATCATATGAGAAAAAAAAAATGGTCCATTTTGTATTTGATTACAAATGGAGATATGGTCCAAAATTTTAAATTTTGATGTCATCCATTCTTTTGGCAAATTTAATTAATGAGTCCTTGGCTCTGCGACATATTTTGTATTCTCTATGCATCATATTTCCCTTCTTTTTGCAAAACCTGCTGTTACAGTAACTATCACTTTATATTGGCTTGGTAAATCCTTGTATGGAATTTTTTTACCAATCTATAGTGGTTAACTTTAATTTTTCATTACCGCACCTTTGTAACCTACTTCCTAATCACAAAACTATAGATTAAACCCACGCTTTTCTATATATGTGTGTAAATAAATTAGAAACTGCAGTATTAAGGTAAAAAACATATTAAAAATCATGATAGGATGGCGATTGATTCTCCTTATATACCTTTGCATGGACAAACTACCAGGACTGTTACAAACTTATTCTTGATAAGGTGCTACATTCTAAGAGTGATAAAGTAATTGGATAATTTATTATGGCAGTCAATCAGGGCTACTTTGACATACACAAGTAGGTGTTTCGTCACTTAAACCTGTTTTAGGACTGATCCGTTTCTTCATTTTCATATTCTCCAAAAAAGGTGAGAAAACATTATCAATTTGTGCTCAAAACCAAAAAATCCTCGGCATTTCAACTAATCATATAAGCAAGCAAGCAAGCGCACACACACACACAGAGTTATATGCCATAGACCACACCAGAAATAGAAATTTCACTTTTCCTCACTGTCACTACAATGTAGCAAGAACAGGGAGGTAAAGGGAGTGACATTATTTTCATCATAACTAGTGCCCACAAACTGATCTCCAAAGAGATCACAGATTAGGATAAACATAGAATAATTAAGTAGACTCTCTCTCTCTCTACGTAGCAAGAAGCACAAGGATAAGAGAGACAGAGTCCCTGTAGGTAGAGGTCAAGGCCCTCAACACTTGGGGGTGGGAACCCCACAAGCGGCAGCAACCTTCCTGGCTTTAGCAGGATCTATATACTTCTTAAGATTTGGGTTCTTGAGGTACTGGCAAAGGCAGGGCTGTTGTTCCTTAAGTTTGCTGCAGCACAATTTAGTTGGTGGTGATGATGAAGTTATTGCACTCCTGCAAGGGTTCAGCTCAGTTGGTGTGCATGTCACAGCCATTGAGACTTGTGTTTCAGCCAAGAGCAGCACCAGAATGGCACAGACTGCAATGTGTGATGCCTTCATTTTCTCTCGCTTTAATATGGCCCAAAAACCTGTGGGATAGGTGAAGAAAGAGAGAGATGGGACGAGTTGCATTTGGCATAGAGCTCACCTCAATTTATAGAGGAGAGATTGGTGAGAAATGCCCAAAAGTCTTGGTAGAAAGTGCAAAAAAATTGACATTGTTAACTTTAGAGATAATGGCTACGGTGGTGCGGAGGTATGGTGCCAAAATTGAGCATTAAATAACACCGCAAATGCAGATATATCTTCCATAAATGAAATAACAGGTGCAACTTTTAATTTAAGTAACTTATAGGGTTTTCTTTTCAAAATATTACATTAGGTGACGCTTTTTTTTTGGACAGGACAAAGGTCACTCGATTGATGACCACACGATCTTCAAATTTTCTCCGCTTACCTAAATTCTCATCCATTCTACTAAATGTTACTGCACCAGAGGGAGATAATGGAGGAAGTTGTTGGAGCAGAAATTCTGTAATGAAGAAGATGATAATAATATGCTTTAAGTCGTGTTACCCAATTGTTTTTCTTTAGACAATTTTTGCTCCTACTAATTCCGATAAAAAATATACACCAGGTTACAAACAAGTTTATATCCAAGATACAATAAAATTCAGGATCGAATCCGATATTTAACTACGTAATGCACAAACGAAGTCAACTCCGATTACTTTCAGATTTCTCTGGTTTTACAAATACACTGAAATTCAGTTTGTACAAAAAAAAAAGATTCCAACGAGTAAGAATAAAAATTAGAAAGAGTTGAAGCCTTGGGGAGAGAGTTATTCCAATAAATTGAAAAGTAGTCTGGAATAACATAATTCTGGCCGATTTATAGGCCCTTTAGTGTCTATTTAGATACTCAATGAACAGGTACAATGATTATTCAAGGGCAAAAGGATATATCTGTTGATTAACAGACATTTAAATATTTAAATTATAACTATTCGACCACATTTCTTACCGATCTAAGGCCCAGATCTAGCCATCACGGTACGTAATATGATTATGGATCACAATCATATGATCCGAAATGAAATTCACTATCCGATCATATGTATATATAAAATCAACGGCCCAATCGAAAATAATCAAAAAATAAAGTCATGATCGAAAACACCTTTAGCGCCCTACGGCTCATGCCGCGTGCGTGGATGGTGCGAGTGTGCACTCTCATACACACTAGCATTCTTAACACTAAAGTAATACCATGTGATAGCTGTCTATTAATAAATAAATTCAATTTTCTCTTAACTTTCTGATGTGAGAGTCCCTAAACATTTTATACTACATTTCATAAACCCACCAAAATATGTATACATTAAATATGCAAGATAAATTAAAAATTTACAACATAAGTGAGTGGTAGTGAACTATATAACTTATCAAAAATGATTCACATCCAATAGTAGAACTAAATCACACCGACATCATTGAGAAATCAACGTCAATCACAATCAACTTGCAAAATATTAATCAAATTCTCATACCAATAACTCAACTTCTACACAAAATTATGGATTGAGATGCTTTTCATTACGCTTTTAATCAATTTCATTTAATGTCAGTTAAACTGACGAGCCTAGATTTAACAGGGTTAAACCCAATTAATGAGTTAGGCCCAAATCAGCTACAAGGCGAGTCAAGCCTAATTCATGAATTCAGTACATTCTATAGTTCAAGGAGTCCAAAAGGATTAGAGTACGTAGAGAGTAATTGTAACGCCCCAAAAACCCCCATGGGTGACATTACATTCTAAAAACCATTTACCGTATGAGAGCATTAAGTAAAATTCATCACGACGAAAGTTTCATTCATCAACCATTCATATTTTAACAAAATTTGGGCAGAGTCTCCTTTGTACGGGGAGCACTACCCAAGACACAACATGTACAATTATATTACAATTGACCACACCGGGTCCACATATGCATAACTATTGACCGCACCGGGTCCATTTTTCCATCATAAAATAAACTTGCATTCATCATATGTCATATCCACACTATCATCCCAAATTAATAGGTCTAATCTTGGCCTTTACATCTCCAAAATGTAATAATATAACGCAGCAGAAATAACAGAAATGAACTAGAGTTCAAAAGGATATTCTAAGCATAATCTAGTCTAGAACAAAATAAAAGTGTCGCTCTAAGCGTCCACCTCGGAATCCACATCCCCGTCAAGCGGAGTCTTCCAATGGGTGGGCTCCTCGGCTCCTAACTCCTCCTCAAGTGTGAAATCTGAAAATTTTTATTGGTAGGGGGTGAGCACGAAGCTCTGTAGCAAAATCCTCTCAACTCAAACAAAGTTTGAAAAACATAGCAAACGGTCGGTCTCATTTCACAACTAACATATATATAGGTTTGGAATGAAAACAGTGACATTTTAAAAGAGATCTCAAGTTTAAACAATAGCAATAATCAGTTAAAAGAATAAAGTGAGTTTAGCATCGATAAACAAAATTCTAATTTAAGTTATTTAAGAAGGGCTTCTCCCTAAGCATTGTCCCATACCAATGCGTCGGCAAAAGAACGACCCAACTCCCGATTCCATGTATTTTTTGGTTCATCCCCGTACCATGTATGTTGATTGCTTCTCGTGAATCTACCTAACGATCATGCCTAATCCACCAATTCCAACCAACAATCACAAATCTCTTTAGGAAGGGCGTGTACCGTCTCCTACGGCATTGAGGAAATCCTCCCAAGGTGTCTAGTATACTAACCCTTTTCCTTGGTGTATATATGAACAATAGTGATCGGGAGCACAACAACGATCCACTACGAGCATTAGGCAACCATCTCACCCCCCATTGGGATAGACTAACCTCTAACACTCTACGGCATCTCTCGAAGGTAATCCAAGTCCATCACAACAACCATACAATGAGGAAATCAAAAATATTCACAATTCACAACAATTTCCCAAATATAGTAAAATCCCAAATTTTGTTTTCACATTTGTCATATAATCGAATAATCCAAGAAAATATGCAAGAGATCGTAATTTATATCATGGTGTTATACAATATTCAACACTAAAGTTTTAAAATCAAAGACAAAGAAGAAATTAGGAAAAAATCCCCTTTTCTTGAAAACTAGGGCTTTGAAGATAAAAAAAAAATCAATAGAGTTTTGGTGGTTACCCACCCTTCATATTGTTCAAAACATGGCATTTATTACAAATAGAACAAGAATCATGTATTTCATATTATATATATGAGAAGGAGAGTGAAGAAACATATATCTATATACATATATATATATCTATATATATATATCTAGCCTCAATGTGAGAGATTGAGAGAAAATCCCCTACCTTAAATCAAGATTCCAAGCTAAGACCCAAGCTTCAAGACCTTCTTGCTCTCCTTTATTTTCCTCTTACTCTTCTCCTCCTAGGGTTTCAAAAGATTTGGGTGAGAGGGTAGCAAGAATGGAAGAAAATGGGAGGAGAATGTATTCTTGAAGAATTTGAAGTTTTGATTTCTACAAGGTATAAATCCCTCTTGATTGGTATTTCTATCTTCCTCTCTTCCTCTAAAGTGGTTCCTAGGGTTTGGAGGGGTGAAATGAATGCTAAAGGGACGACATTAGGTTTTTATAGGGCAAGAAAATCGAACAAAACCCGATATTTTCTGTTCAGAAAAAATCGGGTTTCTTTCGTACTGTTCACAGATTTTTGGTGCGACTTCCAGGTCAGTTTTGACCCATTTAGAGGTCGAATTGGAAATGTTTCATGAAATACACTTTTGTAGCCCTAGATGTCTACTATTTCCTGTAAACATTTCAGATCAATTGGACATCAAAATATAAAGTTATGATCAAAATACTAAGCAGTGTCCATCACCCATTTTTACCCAATTTCACTCCAATTTGGTTTTACTTCTAAAATACTACCTAACTTCTAATACATCCCATATTACCTCTCCCAATGTTTTCCGACCTCCCGAATTCAATGGTAATGTTATTTTGATAAAAAAAATTAATATATTTATTTAGTTACCCTTATCAATCTTAAACACATCCAAAAAAAAAAAAAATTAAGTTTGACCCAAAAGTCAATCCGTTCGAAACTCAAACTTCATAATTAATATTTCAACAATGATTCTAAGTTTTTATCCTCATTTTATTCATATTTGAAAAACTCTTAAGATATTAGTATTCTTATTTAATTTTAGTACAGGGTCTTACAGTAATTATCGGAATACTCACTCTCAAATATCACGATAACCTTTCATTGTACTTACCTTTTATAGCTTTTAGAAGATCTAGTACCTTTATCCTGTATGTCTATAAATTGTAAGTTTTCTCTACATGAGAAGAGACATCTCTATACACCCCACACATAGCTTTTCTCTCTACTAGCTATTGTATCATTCCTAAGGCTAATCATTGCTCTCTCTCTTATCCACTATACTTAATTAATAAAAGGTCTCCCCCACCACTATTGCAGTAATTCGGAGTGGAGTAAGTCACCCTGACCAAACTCTTATATATTTTGTATATTGACTCGATATTTACATTATTTTCATTGATTACTCTATTAATTGTCCGTTAATTACACTTTATCACACCATGTGATGGGTGTCTATTAATAAATAAATTCAATTTTCTCCTCACTTTCCAATGTGAGATTCCCCTTAATGTTGTATACTACCTTCCATAAACCCACCAAAATATATATACATTAAATATACAATATATATTAAAAATTTACAACACAAGTGAGTGGTAGTGAGCTATATAACTTATCAAAAATGATTCACATCCAATAGTAGAACTAAATAACACCGACATCATTGAGAAATCAACGTCAATCACAATTAGCTTACGAAATATTAATCAAAGTCCCATACTAATAACTCAACTTACACACAAAATTAGGGATTGCGATGCTTTTCATTATGTTTTTAATCAATTTTATTTAATGTGAGTTAACCAAATGAGACCAAATTTAACAGGGCCAGGCCCAATTAATGAGCTATGCCCAAATCAGCTACAAGGCGAATCAAGCCCAATTCATAGATTTGGCCCAGTCTAGAGTTCAAGGAGGCCAGAAGGATTAGA